AGCTTCGTCTAGACGATTCGCAAGTAAATGAGAATATAGAAGAAAATTCGTAGAAAGAGTGGGACCCAGGAACATTCTTCGACGCGATTCGGGTCCCGGGAGTGACAATTCCGATAACAAATACGTGGGATTTACGAATTATGGGGCGCGGCACCGCGCCGAAAGGGGGAAGCCTTGGTTCGCGCATAAATATCGTCGAGGACCCGGAATACTTTTGTAACCACTGGCCCGAAATCGGTCGTCGAGACCAGTGCGTCGAAGGCGAAACGAAGCAGAATGGAATCGAAGCGCGCGAGGAGGACGGAACGAAAGGTTCGACGCGAGTAGTCGTCGCGCCGGAAGGCGCGGAACGTGTAAATTCTTGTGTGGTCGTTTCCTACCACCTTCGCCGACCACCGTGTCTCTGTCCCTTTTCTCTCTTTCTATCCCTTCCGCCCTTTCCAGCGGCTTCCAGCGCAGGTCGATTTAAATATCAAAGGCGGCTTAAATCTGACCTATACCACGCTGAATCATGTTACCTCCATAGGCTTATAAGGGACTTATATCAGTGCGCTATTTCGAGAGGGAACACTCCTCTTAGCAGCGTGTTGACCGAGGCGCTAACATCCTTCGGGACAAAGGCGGCCTACCGCGATCCTAACTATCGCGGCTAGAGGGTGGGTAGCTGGGAGGGAAAATATGCATTCGTCCTTGGCTTTTCCTGTGAGAAAGTTCCTGATCCTGCGTGTCGTGACCATCTCTGCCTTGCTCAACCGCGAGTCGTCTTATTTCGCCGAGTGCAATCCCACTCGACTGTTGGCTCTCTGTAATCACGCGTTACGCTTCGTTTACACGTGCCTCCCTTTGCGAGTCCTGCATTTGTTGTTACACTCGCGGCTGTAAATCGCTGTGCGTTGGCCAGGTTTGATCGCGGTCGCGATTAATTACGTCGAGATCGAAACGAAAGAAGCGGCCATCGCTGTGGTCCCGGCACGGAACGTTTCTCACTTAGAATCTCATTAAGCGAGAACCAGTCTCGTTACCGCATCGGAATGTTTCATACGTAAGACGCGCTGGAGCCCGCAGTTGTAAAGAGAGTAGTATTCGAGGAATGCGGTACGCATGGAAATTTAATTATACGAGTTCGGCTGCCGCACTTATGTTAGACGAACGAGTCGCGCGAAACTCCGTTCTCCGATCCATCTTCTTCTCAGAGTCGTTTTCTGTGCGACAGAAATTATTACGTCTTCCTTCGTTTCCAAACACCTGTGCTCCACCGTCCCATCTACCCAAAGATTGGCTACAGGAAAAATAAATTTTATTGTCGTTCAATCAATTTCCGTGCACAGGAAAATCATACGTAACGAATACGTAGACTCGAGACTATGAGAAACTAAAGTAGGAGAGGAGGCCCAGATGCTGGGCCTCATATTTTCTGTCCATACTGTACCTTATTTGCCGATAATCACGAACGGAGATCGGTCCCGGGTAGACAGGGTGATGGCTATTTTAGTGGGTGGAAAATTATACGGCGGCTTCCACAGGCTCTAAAATGGGCAGCTCTTCGGTTACGAACTATAATAATCATTTCGTCGGATGAGGAAGGAGCCGACGGTAGAGAACACGGGGTAAAGAGAGTAGGGAGGGCTTCTTCTCGGATACACAGTCTTTCGTGTGTGTGTGCGTGGTTCGAAGCGTGCCGATGTGGTAGTCAACATATTTACCGGCTCGTTAACGTCTCGTAGAGAGAGGACGACGTTCTCCCTTCGGGGTATCCCGACGTCTCATTCTTCGTTCTCTTCACCGGCTCCTAATACGCACCCCCAATTTAGTACTAACGTGACTCGAAGTAAGTCGTTTAGCGGGGCCTCGGTTGCCACACGAGACGGTAGGCCGGAGCGTCGTCGTTCGGGTAATTAATTTTGCTCTTTTTCTTGCGGCGCGCATAGTAAGCGGGCGCGTACCACCGCGCCGCCGCCGCCGCTGCCGCCGCGTGATCGCCGTGCCACGACGTAGCAAAAATTCCTTCCCTAATTGAGATCTCGCCGTGGTCAAGCGCCGGGGCTGATTATGGCATTCCAGAGAGACTATTGCCGCGCGCGCGAACCGCTGATTGCCCTTGCCGCATCGCGTCGCTCGAGAAGTTGACGATCGAACCCGCACCGTGCCAGAGGAACGAATCTGCTTCGTTCCGCGATCTTTCTCACTCGGCTACTCGAGCGTGATCTAAGTGCACATAAATAATAATACCGGGATAACAAGATCGTCGACGATTGACACGATTTAAGTATGACCGCGTTAAATGAGACAAGCGTGTCAGCAATGTATTAGGACGATTGTAACAAATTTTTCAGCTTATTGCTTCTGTCTGAATGTTTACAGTGTTGCAGGTATTTTCCAATATGTTTTACCTCATTATAATTTGCTTCATTAATATATATTGTTTATGTACATTTGTTTAATTATTTCGAGTTCCGTCATTATCATATGATTGATTTCTCGTCCACGTTTCCGATAAATATATGAATTGTCGATTGTTAACATTACATTATAAATTCCATCCGAACTTCCAATAGAATGAACAAATGATATTTCGAAAGCACGAATCTCTGAATAATTTATGATACCATAGAAGGAGTATCTTGGCGTAATTCTCAATTCAGTTTTGGATCACCCAACGGACTAACACTTTTCCAACTTGCTCAACCCGGAGGAGACCCTCCGCGGTTCCCGGCCCACGGTGATTTTTTCCCTTTTATATGCTCGTTTTTGATTGGGAACGGGGAGGGAGAACCTATAAAGGGCCGCCGAAAAATAAGACCGTGCACAACCCCTTCCCTCCTCCTCGTCTCCTCTTCGTTCAGTGGTCCATCGGTCGTTTTTTTTTTTATTTTACTCCCTTCCTCTGCGCTCAGCCTCCTCCACTTTGATTTCGGTAGGTAGAGAGCCTGTGGATGGACCACGAGGAGGCAGAGGAGAGGAAGGGGGCCCCCGAAATCGGGCAGTGTGTAATTTTGCGCCGGCTTAGGAAAACACGACGGCCACCCGCGCGTTTCGCGAGCGGCGGAGATTTAAAAGTAAAAGGCTCGTTCACCGTGGAGTTACAAGGAGACTGAGAGGACGAGAGAGGTCCAGACCGATAGCGGCGCAGCCACCTTGTTCTCCGTTCGGGCGTCTCTTTGTCTCTTCGAGGCGAGAAGAGAGCCACTTTGCATACCGGTGCCACGCGTGGCTTGGTATCGAGCAAAGTGCGCGCTTCCGAATTTATATTTTTACATCTCGCGGCGCGGTCGGAATCGTAGCCGCCTCGTGGGAATTGAAAACGGCCGGGCAACTATTTGCTCGAAAATTTTTAGTCGATTTCGAAATTACTGGTGTGATCGTACCACCGATCCGCTTTGAACATATTTCCGGGCAAACAAGCACGAACGCGTTTTCATTTTGCGAAAGCTATAACTATGGTAAAAATATTTCCGGCGCAATTAAACGGTTTCCGATTGCGTTGCCAACATCCTTTTTTTTTTTGAGTAAGTAATCACACGTATTGAATAGCCGTTCGTTATAAAAATAGAGACTTAACAAAATTTAATGAAAAGGATATTGTGTGAAGTAAAAACTGTTATTATAAAAGTTTTAATCGAAAATAGTTTTTCACACGTTTTAATCAAATCCATATATATTATGGGCACTGCCTGTGAGAGTATGCACGCGAATACGTGCTTCAATAATAGTCGCCGTGAGAGAAAAGGCATTTCTCACAGAGGCTTTCGAACTCTTCCGAGCATAACCACTTCCCTTCGTCTTCTAAAGCCGCGGAGGAGGAAGGCATTCGGGATTCCTGTGCACCTTCTCGTCGACGTGTCTTTATCCTTTTTATCCCCTTGTCGAGTCGGCATATGAAAAACTTTGTATCACCCTCGCGAAGTCTCGTCAGACATTACGTACATAGATGACTACAATTTAAACAGCAAGCTTTCTCTTAACCAAATCCATCCACAAAGTATTTAAACCCCTCTGTTAACCCCTCAATTATTGTACCCTTGGCAATACAAGTAACAAGTACAATTCTCCTCTTAAAAGACAATAGTAGCCAAGTCCTCTCGCATCTCAGTTTTATTTCATATGTTTTTCATCGTGTTTCTGGATCATCGGTTTTCTTATGTCAGCGGCTGTATCTATCTGGTCCCAGGACCCAATCGATATTTAACGGCTTAATTTCGAAAGCGGATCCCCGGCGCAGAACCGGTGAGGCGAGGCGAGGCGCGGCGCGACGGTAGACAAAATTTAGTCGCGCGAAACCGGGGGCCCTCCGTGGGTGTGTTTACTCTGCGCCGTCACTTCGTGGTCGTCCCTTTTTTCGCGTTCTCTTAGGGCCAGGTAACCAGATACATCGGCGGCGGCACGCCGTACCAGTCCCAAAAGGGACCCCCACGGCGTCGATGGCGCGGTGGGTCCCACATATACATACGCGCCTCTCACGATAGAGACCTCGGATTTTCGCTCGCCTTATTTTCTCCACCACCGCCGATCGATATTCTCTCGCCTGTCCGGTTCGTTGCCGGCCCGGTTACGCGTTTCGCATTCGGTAGGTGGACCGATCGCACGCAACGCGTTTATTATTTCCTTCCACCCCACGCAAAGATCGTTCACCCCCGGCAGCACGGAAAATTTCTCGAATGCGAGCCGAGTCTACAGCCTCAATCGCTTTTGTAACGAAAAGGAAAATGAGGATTCCAGCTGGGAAATATGAACACGAGGTGCTCGGCTCTCGGGGAACTTCGTAATTTCTCGCTCGAGGCGTCCGGAGTTATTAACACGGACTTAAATGTTGCTCAGCGCCGGGAAACATTAACAATGATGGTAGTAGGTACGCTGCGAAGCGGATAATATGGGCGCGCGGCGGCACCGGGAGAACAAAGTACGAGCCCAGCCCCGTAACGACGAGGCCTGATCCCAAAATAAAGTACCATTCGGCTGTTCCGCCGTTCCGGGGCTAATTTTGCTTCTAATTGAAATTTCAGGTTTCGAAGCCGGGGGATTCCGAGTTCTCGAGATGCTAACGGAAGGAATTCGCGTTGTCGTGACTTCGACCGGAAATCGAGATTTCTCAGCAGTGACTTTCGCCAGTTGAGCAGACCGCACCGCAATTACCAGGTATGGGTCTCCGTATGAAATCGTCTTAGGATAACGAGAACCACGATAACGTCTAGTGACTCGATGGTTAAACTATCCGATCGTGCAGTTGTTTCGTACACTTGCGACTAAAGTATGAGCCAAACTTATTAACCGATTTCCCTCTGTTGCTCGCCTGGCTTCTTTGCCTCAATGATCGCACTTTCCTACCGGTCACGTTATCCTTCTTAAATGTCGAAACGATGACATTTATTCGGATTTTAATTATGAAAGCGGGAGTGAATTTTTATTTCGGGTTCACTAGCGATGCTCGTAGCTTCTCGTGTTCCAAGACTCAAAATGCGTTGGATACTTGGGTCCAGCTTGTGCTGGAACCTTAAACCAGTTTGTAGTACGTAAGGAGGCAAATTCGTAAAAGCGTAATCTTACGGTAGGCCGTAGGCCCGTGCCTCAGGATGACGGGCTCACGTTATGATAAACATCTTTATCCTTCCTCGTATAAATTTTACGGTGCAACGTTGCTTTAACCGAAATACAGCCGTAACCGGCCGCCACGAATTATAAGGATCGTTTCGCGGATTAGAGGGACCCCGACTTTCCGTCGGGGCGATAAAATTGCGTTATTTCTTTCTTCCTCCCCGACTGGGGTTGCATCAAACGCCGCCACGTTCTCTCTTGTGCCCGTGCTCTAACGTCTTTTTAAATTACACTCGTACGACAAAACGATACGATTACCACTCACAGAACCGTCTTACGATCGCGTGCATGATAATAAACTTCGAAAGTTTCTCCATTAACCGTCCTCGCTATTTACCGGTTTATTTCTTCTTAAGCTTCCAGCTACTTTCTTTCCAGTTATTTTTCTTCAGAACACGATGTGTACTTTGGTTCATTGGTACAAATTATTTCTCATTCTTGTTAAAAAATGTAGAAGTTAATCACATAATTGTTAACAATTATATATAGTTTCTTGTATGATACTTTTGTTACGAATATTGCTTCAATGGATATTAAAGATAATTGAGTTGATCTGCTTCTCTTTTACGTGGATCCTATTATACGCGTCTCTCGTATATTGGAAACATCCGCGGAAGCGAGATACTACTTTGCAAAGCGTCTGGTGTACGCCGCGGGATATTAAATCCACGCTGTTCCAAAACTATCGTCTGCCGGTATTTCCCTTTACCAACCGACATATTCCAGACACGCGCGGAATTTCAAGTTTTGGTCCACCCTTGGTCGCTCGTGTAACGCCTCCTAACGAAAGGATTGCATACGAAGATATTTCAATAATTCGCGGTAGTACGGCAGGACACCAGTTCGTTCTTTTCCTCGGCACGAAGAGAATCAAAGGCGCTCGGGAAAACGTGTTCCTTTTGTGTCGGGGCGATCGAATAGAAACTGTGTCAACAGACAACCCGATTACACAATTCTGCTCCCTTTTGTTGTCTCTTCTTTACCGTGGCAAACAAAACCAACTCCGTTAAACTCTTGATTTTCTGCCCCGCGGATATTCGGCCCGAATTCACTCGTCGAGCTTCGCGATATCAGTCTCGCAATATTGTCAGATTTGCCATCTTCTCTTGTATCCAGGGCCTATTCCTCGGGGCCTGGACAAAACTCGACACTATCGGAAACAGATAATCCCGCTTATCTGTTTCATGCTGCTGCTTGGTTTTGGACCTGATCTATTCCAATAAATTCATAAAGCAATAGTTTTAATAAAATATAGAGTTGCATTATTATTAAGTCCTAACACTGTTCTTCGTTTTTAAGACTCGTTTGAATGAAAGAACGTGCCTAACTATGAATGCTCTTTTCACGTGACCGCAACGCGATTGGTCAAAGACAATTCCGCGAGTCGTGTTCCAGCCTCGGAAACAAAGAGTCGAGGAACTGAACAGCTTCTCGTTTCCTCGGTAAACTTCCTTACGGGCGTCGCTTTCGTTTAACCCGTTTCTAGGCTAGAGTTTCAACAGCGGGGAAACAGAGCTTTGAAGCCCGGCCACCCGATAAGTCAAAGTCTAAAGATTTATTTCCGCTTCGATGCTGGACCCGCCGCGCACGAAGACTGTTTCACGGTGACTTATCGAATTCATACCCAACGTCCTCCGTATCGATTTCCTCGCCGGCTAACCGTTTGTCTCCGTGTCTTCCATTCCATTTGAAAAAATTCAGCCGAATATTCCCGTGCATTAAACGCGTTTCCTGACTTCGGGAATTTGGCCAAAAACTACTGTCTTTTTTTTAATGAAGTGAAGGATAGATAATGGTTCTATGAGGCAAAAACGAGATGGAAAAAGATTTAGGTTCTCTCGGTTGAAATTTGCATTACCAAACGGCGTTCGTTGTCCGTAAATCATTCATTTTCGTCGTAAATCGTTCACGGTCGTTTTTCCATGATGAGGCCGAGGTTGCTACCGGGAGAAAAATTACGTTAGAGACCTATTCTGAGATTCAGATTCTTCGGGCCAGCGAGTTATCCGCGCAGATATTATCGGGGAACGATTCGGGCCGCACAGAGCCTGTCAGAAACGACCCGAGGAACCCTTTGAACGTTGACCTCGTACACTGCGACTCGTTTCTTTCATTACCGCGTTCGTTATCGTACTCGGGACGGTTTTAATTTAATTGCCTAGTACAACTGATTAATTAGTATCTATGTCACTTCGTACAAATTGGCTGAAATCAGTTTTTTAAATAAGAATTCTTTGTTACTTAAGAAGCGTATTTGGCATGTCGTTCAGTTGTGCAAGGGTTAATATAGAAGCAAGGTATATAAATCAATAAAAGAGATAGCATATTTCTGCATGGAATTGCGTGTGTTTCTAAAAAATTCTTAGGGGACCGGGGTTCACGCCGGATGTAACGACAAAGGAAATAACTCACAGATTTCCAAATACTGCTGTCGATATTGGATGAAGCCGGATCATAGATAGAAGCTGTACTGTTCAATAATTCATGTCATTCGATTGAAAAGCTTAGCACGGTTGAACGATATTCAGCCTGCCGCGGATACGTAATATACGTACGCTGTACACTTCTGCCTTTCTCGCGAGGGATGGATCGAAATCCCGCGGGAGTACCTGCAAGAAATATCCGCATCAGAACAGGCGTATTTAAAAGTCGATCAGAGTTAACGAACCGCTATTCAGATCTGGCGTCATATAATGATGTGTAACCTAATTAGGTGGATGGTTTAATCAAGCGCAGATTCCCTCTTGTCTCGCGGCATCTATTCGCTTTGCTTCTATAAATTACGTATCATTATTGATGGACTGTGAATTTCTACGGGAAACAAAACTTATAGAGTATCAATTTAAAAAATGAAATCTAGTAGGAATGTCATTTGATCTCATAAACATCATGTTTCGTGTACTTTGCTGTTCATACTTTATACACTTTTTACATCGTTTAATAATCATTTTTTATAAACATAGAAAAAACCTGCTGTCTTATTATTATCATTATTGTATGAAGTTTTTGTAAATAGACTTACAGGGCTCATATAGGGATTTTTGTAATTATATATTTAAAAATTTCGTCCACTTCCGTTATTGAAATTCTTGGAATGCGACTGACTGTCAGATGAAAATGTTGTTCACTGCAGGTGATCTTATCAAGCGAACCAGCATCGCGAATATTTCGTTTTTTTATCTTATCCCCTCGTCTTATTTCTAATTTACATGTAACTCGCGGTAAATTCAAGCGGTTGTGACAAGACTGGTTTAGTTAGAGACTTGAGCTTAACGATTAACGATGTCATATATTTTACATGTCACATTTTTTTCCACTCCAGAATAAGAGCAATTGGAGTTAGATACAGTCTGCTATCTGTCTGACCTCGATAACTTATAAACTAGGAAGTGTAATACAGGACAGCTTCGACATATTGACTTGTCGAAAATTGAGAAGCCAGGAGCGGTCGCTGTTTCCGCGCAAAGTATTTACACAACGACACTCAATTAGCGCACGGTCAATAGGGATACGCGTCGCGTCCACGCGTTCTCGAAACAACGGCCCATTAATTCGCGATCATGTGTTTAGCCCCGGCGGCGAGGTAAATATCGTTTCCCGCGGACGAAAAGTACCAACGCGCGTCGGTGCCTTCGATCGCGTATCAATACAGTTTCCCGATTTCCCTGTTTCATGGTCTATTGGTATAACTGTGCCGGAACTGGAAGTCGCGCCGAAAGGAAATGCGTTTACGGCTGTATTCGCGTCCACATTTATTTTATTCTATAGAAATCGCTGACAGTAATGGCTATAATAATGGTATTAGTCATAATCAGACTGTAGACATCTATGCAGAATAAAATATTTTTGGTATTGATTTAAAAAAGAAATAACTTTTAGCATTTAAACATCGTATGTGTGATATATCTGCAACTTTTTATATTTTATATTACACAGATGCGTTTATATTTTCTGCACGTGTTTTTCTATAATGCATAAACTCCGCAGTTTAGTGATAAATTCCGGACGCGCCTTTTGAGAAAAGGGGGAACCGGTGTTACGTAGAAATTCGGTGTCTCCCTTGAGCGGGCCGTGAAATCGCGATAAGATCCCCGATGTTCCGATCGCAGCCTCGTGAGAATTAACGAGGTTCGAAATACTTGCCGGACCGCACGGTATCCGCGATACCGGCGAATTCCGTGAAGATCCGCCAATTAGATTCGAATCGACGCAGGTCAAGAATACCCAAAACACCCGGGAGATGGGTCCAGTTGAAGGAACAGGTATCGAAGAAGAGGAAGGTCACGCGCGTTTATCCAGAAAATAAATTTCGCTCCGGTGGCCGCGATTACCCGCGATAACAATTCACCAAATAATTATACGGACAATTAATACGCAGTTTGCACGGCTTCGTCGTGGTAGAATCGTTTCGTGAAGTAAACAGTGTACAGGCAACCGGACCGGATCGGATCGGTGAGGTAAAGAAACAAAGTTGAAACTAGTCGTGTTGCGGCTAATTAGGTCGAGCCGAAGGTTGCCCGGTCTTGACGGCAGTTTAGCTCACC